CCTATTTAATGAGGGCAGACACAGGAGGACCTGCAACCACTTAGTGCTGCTCACAACAGCCACTTCCATCAGGCTCATCACAACCCCATCATCCCTTCTGCCCCCAGGGAAGGGAATGTCCTTAGTGTGACTGAGTCAAACCACAGCTCACGGAACATGGAGCTGGAATTGCTGCATCCCAATAACTCAGTAACTTTTCATTGTAAAGGATGAAGAGATAAGAGCTTGTCACTAGGAAAAAGCAAGTGCTTATTACTAGAACAATATTATTGCTCCAGTGGATACATTACTCCATGATTGTCCACACGACAGTGTGATTGTGCCATTGGTAAGATATGCAAACCCATAGTAGTAATTCCTGTTACTGGATGTCCTAAAACGCAAATATATCCCCGAACAACCTATGTCTGTAAGTAAAATTCAGAAAGATTAACAACAGTACACAAGTAATTTTGAAGAATTTTTGGAACAATTCAGAAAAAAACCTGCTGCCTTTCAGAAGAATTATAAATGTATTTGCAATTTACTGTGTATCTGAATTACTCTGTGAACGGAAAAACTTTTAGGTTCTTGTGGAGAGTATTTTGCTTCACTTTCCATTGTACCATTCACTGTGATAAAACCCCTGTGAGAAACAGACACTCACATAAAAGCAACTATCTTCTAAAAATGTTTCTCTGAGCTTGCATAAAAACTCTTTAAAGAAAAGATTTTTAAAAATTTATCTCACTGACACCAAGAAGCTCTTAATCTTCTATATCCTTGAGGCTTATTAGACACTTTAAATAATTGAGGAAAATAAAAGAAACCAATTTAGGAACCACAAAAGCTATACTCCTTATACTCTTTCAAATGTCAGTGCTAATAAATCCTAAGTTCCTGTACAGTTTGCCAGGCAAATTAATCTACAAACACCAGAGGTTTATGTCCAAAAAGGAGACAGAGGAGTCCTGTAACTTTATTCAAATACAGGGAGAGGCCATGGGGCATTTCCTCTGGTGTCTCTCCAAAATTAGGAAGGACACAGCCTCCTTTTTATCCTCATTTCCGGGCCACATGTCCATCTCTCTTCCCCATTGCCTGAGGTACTTCAGAGGACTTCCTGAAATGTCTGATACCTGAGACCCCCTTCTAATGTATAACCCCCCCTTTTTGTTTTCCTTGTGTCAATCAGTGGAATTCATATGGAATTTATGGTTCTTCCCACTGTTTCTTTCATCTCTCAGTATACAATTTTATTTATCAGCAGACCTACAGTTTGTCTGTGAAGACAAGTCTCTCTCATTCCATTCATCCATCAGTGGAATCCTTCCCATTGTTTCTTTTATCTCTCACTGCTAGTTTTACCCACCAGCAGACCCACAGTTTGTTTGTAAAGACAAGTCCCTCATTCGAGTTCAAGCACTGAGGCCCAGCTTCAAAGGAACAGACAGTGCAGAACCCACACAGAACTGAGGCACCCAAGTCCTTGGCAATGGCCCTGTTCAAGCTCAACATTAACCGGGCAGGGCACGTCCACCATCAACACCAGAGCCAAGGAGAGGCTGGATGCCACCAGGGCAGCTTCCTGGCAGAGCAGCTGCCAGAGGAGGATCTGTGGAGGTGGCACTTGCTGGGTGAGGTGTCCCTGAGGCAATGCAGCTCCCACCAGCAACACTCAGACAGCAAGAAGCCTTAAGGCAAGTGATCAAGCCGATGTGCCAGCAAGAAACAGGAGACCCATCTCCAAGAAAACAAACCTTTTGGAGCAGCTGACCAGCACAGCTTGCGAGAGGGAGTGCAGAGGGCTGAAATGGCAGCAGAGCCTGGGAGCCGCACACCAGGAGCACAAAGCCAGAGCAAAGCATGCCTCGTGCGGATTGTGGGCAAGGAAAAGTTTCCACTCTCACGTACGAGCTGTGGCATAGAGCTCTGGAGCTCACTCGGCACAGGCACAGGTCAGGAGTGCATACACACAAACACCCACGAAGAATTCCACAGACAGAGTGCTTGCCTGTGGAGTACAACAGTGCTCCCAAGGAGAGGAAAAGTAAATTGTGCTTAAATTGTGCTGTGATAACAAATGGCTGTCGTCATCTTTACAGCTCATTCAATTCCCAGGCCTGACTTATTGAAACTACTAACAGAAGAGCCAAAAAGACACTGATAAATCAGCACTGTTCCCTGGATCTGTCATCTCTTCTTCAGCGAGTTAAAGCTGTGAAATAAAGTAACTGACATCTGGTAATCCTCTCATTGAAAAACTTATTTAACCCAGTCTCAGTAATAGCCATAAACTGTTCTCAGTGAGAGTGTTTCCATTCATATAAAAAGAGCTCTAAAAGAAACTAAAAACTTGTCATCCCCTCCTGTTAGGTAATCCCATGCCTTTAAATATTTTGTATTTTTTTTTTCTGCTTCCTTTTCTTTGCCACCTTGTACATTCACTGTGTTCTGCAGCAAATTATATGACACTTTCCCTTACTGTCATATTTCAATAGCTGCTTTCTGACTTTCTCAAGTCAGTGTGGTGGGTTATTATTCTTTTCCAGCTATTGTACATTATATACCCCTAAAACCATTATTATTTCTGAGGTAGAAAAGATCATCACAATTTTCTTTCAAGAGTCTAATAATTTAAGACCATTTGACATCTTAAAATCTTGTAGCTTCACACCAGAGATTCATCGGAAGGCGTTCTTGGGACAAACCCACAGAAATCTTTTGGACTAATACGGAATGCTGTTCACCACATCTGAATAGCATCATAAGAGTCATTTATGTTGGAAAAGCCCTTCAAGATCATTAAGTCCAGCCATTAAAGGTGGATGCTTTCCTGTATAAAACTTTCAGCCACTTAACAGCGAACCCTGACCCATCCAAAAACAGACCTTGCAAGAGAAATCTGCTGCAACCATGTACAAAGTTACTCAGTTGCCCCACGTCACTCAGTACCAAAGTTATACATTCCAAGCTAACCAGAGCTGAAGAAATCTCACTATCTAACCCATGTGTACAACACTTCCAGAGAGGTTCAGTAATTAAGGCTGCATTCAACAGCATTTTGAGTAAAACTTTCATAGCACCTTTCTCTGGTGTAAGGCCTGAAACACAACTTGACTTTACTAAGGCATCTGTAAACTTCTAACAATCAAAGAGAAATACCAAAAAGTACAATATCTGTCAGATGAAAAAAAAATCTGACATGCATAATTATTTCAGTCCCTACACTACATTATCCCAAGGACAATAAAATAAGACAAAGTAAACAGGCTCATTAGAACACCTTTAGATTGAGTTAACTGTTATGACCTACAGAACAGAAAGGAACTTCAACCTCCCAAAGAGGGAACAAATATCTGTATCACACAATTGTTCCCTCAATATGCTCGATGAATCATTCTGAGGTATCTTTAGAAAAGAACATTATGACTACAGATAATGTTTACAGAAAAGCATGAGATTAACATTGTGTACCCATATTAACGGTATTGAGTCTCCACTGTTTCAACATTTACCTGCCAGATGTAACAAGTGTCAAATCCATTCTTCAAATCTAAAAGAAAAATCACTTTTAAAATGCAAACTACGTTCCTTTCCTAATTCACAGCTACAAGCATGTCAGACAACCAGATTTCTGGATTTACCCAACACTCCTGTCTTCCCAATATAGCAATTTAGTCATTCTAACACTTGTAAATTGGTGCTCTTCTCCTCTTCTGGTGTCAACACCCTACTTGAAAACAACACTAACAGACTGCTTACCTTTTAAGAAACTACTATTTAAATTGTTGCATTCTTCAGGAGCAGAGATTACATTTTCAAACTCTAGTCTAGGAAGTGGTATTACAAAGAAATTTTTGTTTCTGGCATATGAAAGATTGTCTGTTCTGAATCAGTGACAGTTCACAACAAGCATAAAATAACCTAAACATACGTATTATCTGTGGTATGGCATTTTCCACAGACTTTATATACATTACTTAGTTTTCCCTTAGATTTCTGGAGAAAAATGTCTCTTTCAACCTTTTAAAGATAATTTTGTGAAACGCAGGTTAAACTGCACTTTAATGCTTAGTAAAACGCTAAGCTCCCAGAGCAGGAGGTGCTGAGGCAGGCCTGAGCTGGGCCCTGTGTTACTCAGGGGCCCCACATTACTCAGTTGCCTTGTGTTTGTTACTCACTCACCCCGCATTTCTTACCCAGTCGCCCTGAGTTTGTTACTCAGTTCCCCTGCGTTTGTTACTCGCTTGCCCCACATTTCTTACTCAGTTGCCCTGCATTATGCGGTTGCCCTGTGTTTGTTACTCAGTTGCCCCACGTTACTCAGTTCCCCTGAGTTTAATATTACTCAGTTCCCCTGAGTTTGTTACTCAGTGCCCCATGTCAGTTACTCAGTGCCCCACGTCTGTTACTCAATGCCCCCACATTCGTTACTCAGTGCCCTGTGTCTGTTACTCAGTGCCTCCGTGTTCGTTACTCAGTTTCCCATGTGTGTTACTCAGTGTCCCGTGTCTGTTACTCAGTGCCCCATGTTCATTACTCAGTTCCCCTGCATTCGTTACTCAGTGCCCTGTGTCTATTACTGAGTTTCTCCACGTTCGTCACTCTGTGTCTGTTACTCAGTGCCCCCATGTCTGTCACTCAGTGCCCCATGTCTGTCACTCAGTGCCCATCACTCAGTGCCCCATGTTCATCACTCAGTGCCCATCACTCAGTGCCCCATGTTTGTCACTCAGATCCCCAGGTCTGCACTCAGTGCCCCATGTTCGTCACTCAGTGCCCCATGTCTGTCACTCAGTGCCCATCACTCAGTGCCCCATGTTCGTCACTCAGTGCCCCATGTCTGTCACTCAGTGCCCCATGTTCGTCACTCAGTGCCCCATGTCTGTCACTCAGTGCCCATCACTCAGTGCCTCAGGTCTGCCGCTCAGTGCCCCCAGGTCTGTCACTCAGTTCTCCTGTGCTCATTACTCAGTTCCCCTGCGTTCGTTGCTCAGTGTCCCGCGTGTGTTACTCACGGAGCGCAGGTACTCGGCCAGCAGCTCCTGCAGGGCCTGGCGGATGGCGCTGCACTCGGCGATGATGCGCTCGCGGTGCGAGTCCCGCGTGCACGAGGAGTCGGCCAGCAGCGCGGCCCCGCTGATGATCGCCTCCAGCCGCTGCTCCAGGGACGGCCTCACCTTCTCTTCGCTCACTGCCAGAGGATCCAGGACTATTAAATTCTGAAAAAACGAGGAGCACAGGTAAGAAAACTCAGTTCAATGAAGCTGCTGCTTTATTTTTTACTTGCAGGAACTGCAGAGAAATTATGCTTCCCAGATGTGCTGCTAGCCCTTTCCACTGGAAGCACCCAAAATACTTTTGACCATGGCAGATTCCCTTTTCCCTAGTGGGGCTACACACAGAGGTCATTTGCAGACAGAGCCAGGTTCTCTCTGCCATTCAGAGTCTCAGACCGAGCTTAAGCTTTGTTTCAAAGAGGGGTTCAATGCCTATAAACTTTAGTCTTTTAGAGAACACGAAACCTCTGGATTTAACTCAGAGCCAGCAGTGCTAGCTTACAGCTGAGAAAGTTGAGCCAGATTACATGAGGAGTCTAATTCTGATGATTTTTAATCAATCACACACTGTGGCAGTAAGTCACTGTTGCCACTTTTAACAGGTTTAATACAGGCAAAAATAAAAACTGCAGCTTTTGTTTAACTATTATTTTTCCAAAGGACATAGATATAAGTGCCCTTTTGCTTTTCAGTAGATAGGGTAAACAAAAGCAGACAACTCTTTTGGCTTGATAAAATTAATTACATTTGTGTCCCAAGCAAATGTTCTAAAGAGAGAGAAAAGGAGACTGCGAAATTTTCATAAAATGTGAAAGTAAGTATATTTGAGCTTCAGCATTTGAAGAAATTTAAACCAGTAATTGTTAATACAACTGAACATCTGAAACTGTGCCATTATGGTCCTAATCTCCAAACCTAGACTCCACATACACTCGTTCACCTCTTGCATCACATCCATAGGTGGTTTCAAACTTTCAGAAGAAATACAAAACAAGAAAACTGTGCCAGATACCCTGATATGCAATTTAGGTAAATCAGAACTTATCTGTGCCTATCCAGTATGTGCCAGACTAGTTGTAAACTGGAGGATTTTAATTACTTTTTTCAGTTTAGATTTTACAAGACAATTTCAGGGACTATCTAGCTTAAGCTAGAAAGTGTTGTATTAGAACACCGTAAGATAAAAACTTAAACAGTGATGCAAGGAGACTTGAGTCACAAGCTTGTGTTAGAGATTAGAAACTCTGCCCCCCTCCTTCCCGTTAGAGCCCTTCACACCAGGGTGTTCTGGGGTCCCCCACATCTGCTAAGCTGTGCCACATGGCCACTCTTCACTGCACCACCAGCTCCCCTTCAAGCTCCTGTGTCTCAAGCAGCCCCTCAATGCCAAGCTGCATGTACAGTGCCCATCGTAATGCAAAACACACCTGGCAGGCAGAACATTGAAGTGCTGTTGCAGAAAAAACAGCTTCACTGGCTGGGGAAGACTAAGATACACCTGGTGGCGACAGCCAATTATACAATCAGCTGGAAAAATGCCTGCCTTCAAATCTCAGCTGACCCAAAACAGAAAAGTCCTCCTTTGGGAGACAGTTTGGAGAAAGTTCACACCAAGATGGACAAATAGCACTGGCCAAAAAGCTACTATGGTTCATCTCTGAATAAAAAAATCTAGGCAATTACAGCCAGGAAAATATTAGTTCAAACTTTGCCCTACAGATACAATTCTTCAAATAATTTCGTTACTTATTCATAATCAGTACATCTGCACAGGAAAGACTCAATGAGAAGACACCAGACACAAAAGAAGCAGTCTCTGGTGGATTTGATTCAATAGACTAAACAGTGGTCAGCTACCCTGAAGCAGATCAAAGACTCAAGCATAAAGGAGCATTTAAGAGGAGTGATTAGATCCCTGTTTTCTCCCTCACTGGTCTGCTCCAAGAAAAAAGAAGGCCCATGGGTATGCAGAAACTTGGTTGTATTTGGTGAAGTTCTGGAGTGACTTACAGCCTTTTGGCATCTCATTGTAACTGCTCAGCTGGATGGCCACGGCCACTCAAGGACCGCACTGGAGCTGAACACACTGACAGAGACTCAGGCATGCAGGACCTGGATCATTTGGTAAGAAATGTCTTTGCATTCACAAGATGAAAGACCAGGGAAAGGCATTAGATAACCTGCACCCAACACGCTCTTTTCACAGATCTTAATATGCAATTAAATTTTAAAGTTACAATTTTGTGTTTATTTACAAATGACACAGTAGTTATAGGGAGCCCTTAAGACAAATTGTTGAGAATCTACTGATTTAAGAGTTAGCTGCTCTAATTTTACTGGTGGTTTCCTCACCTATAAATCTTTAATAACTTTCACAGTGCCAGCACTGGCAAAGGAAGAATGATATTGCAAAACATCTAGATACTGGATTGTTGGGTAAGCTCCGAGATACATTTCCACACTATAAACATTTAATGAGATTTGTTCCCACCAGACTATTTACTGCATCAATCTATTTCATGGCACTGTATTTGCAACAAGAAGATAGAGCAAAGGTTATTTCAGGTCCTTAGCCAATAGAACTTTCTGTAAAGCGAGAAAAGTGTAACCATCTAACTCATGAAATCATTTCAGAAGTTAAATGCTCTATAAATTGTGCTTTATCTAACTCACACAGCTTTGATTCCCATTTGTGCTACCTAGGTAAAAATATATTTACAACTTGATAAACAAACGGCTTTTTACAACCATCAGACTTCTATGTTCTTATATTTCCAAGTAAAAACAGATTCAATTAGAAATACTTTTTTCCCCATTTTGTGATTATCAAAAATTTCAAATTTTAGAATAATAATAAATGTTACTGCATTTTTAAATAGTACTGCTTACACAGAGTCAAGATTAATTAATCTGCAGTAATAAAATGCACTCCTTTTGACATTTCTTTTTTTTTTAATTTTTAAGCAATCCATGTAAATCCAGGGTCTCATATAAGGAATCTCATTTGTCATTCACAGCTACACTGTAACAAGTTATGTATTAGTGTTACATGCTTCTTTTTACTTCCTTTTATTAAGAAAATAGATTAGGAACTGTAATTTTAAAACCCGTTGTGAGATTGCTCTTAACGTGCAATTGTAGCCTGTTCCTCTGTGGGGAAAAACCTCTCTGATTTGACTTTAAGCATGCCAGAGAGGCCTTCTTTGATCAATAAACTGTCGCTACAAAATTTGTGCCATATTTCAATGTATTTCTTTGGTAATCTTTTCTTTGTAATCTTCCTTCGAAAATTGTTGATAAAAATCTTCTACCATCAGTCCTAACATCAGTTATCCTGAAAAAGTATTACAGTCTTAGCACTGGGATGCTGAGATCTGCTAAGTCCAAGAATTCACAATTGAAACCACCCATATTTGCAAATGTGTTTAGAAACATACATTCCTCATGTCGATCTGGGCCTACATCCGTTACACCCCATGAAGATCACGGTCTGTAGCCTCCCCTACAGGAGATCTTTCACCATTTATGGCAGGACAACGGAAAATTACACTGGTGAGAGCCAGAGCAGCCACGAGGAAAAGGAAAAACTCCATAGAAAAGCTTCAGATTAGGTCAGGAATAGAGAAGGTGCTGCCTTCCCCACATATTTGCTTCAATAATGGAAGCAGAAATGCAGAGGTGGTGAAACCATATTAACTATGTCACTTTATTTAATGATAAGCAGCAAATACAATGAGGTTTCTGAATTGCTTAACTATACAAATTACAGAATGATCCCACTGACACATTCTGGAGACAAGGACTCCAGCTTGCATGGTAGCAGCTCAAATGCAGCCAAGGCAGCAGTGGGCATTGTCAGCTGAGAATCAGTTCTGGGCATATTGAACTCCTGGGTTCTGACCACTTCCTGCAGGATATGTCTGTCTCCAGCAGCAGTGACACAACTGGAGCTAACTGCCCTCTGTTCAAAGGCAGCCAAATACTGAACACACACGAAGCCTTAATTCCAAACTCCTCTGAAGAAAATGAAATCATTTCAATGAACCATCTCAATGAAATCATTTCAAGTGATACTATTTAGACTAGGACCAAGTAGAGCAGCAATCTTTAATGCCTTTAGGCTCATCATTTATGATACCAATAGTTATTAAAAAATTAAGAAACTTTTTTCCAAAAATACTGTAATCCCACATGTTTACGTACCTCAAGCTCATCAAGTGCACTTCCAAGAGTAGCTGTGCGAGATGCAGGCTGCTCCACTTTATTTCCAACTCCTTGGGAAGCATTAGAAATTACATTGAGAGCATTCTGTATTTCATTGCAAATTGAATCCTTGCTGGCTGTAAGGGATGCAACATCTGAATGTTCCAAACAAGCTGAACATATTGAATGTAGGAAAGCAGAATTTTCCTTCAGGGATACACGTGCTGCAGCAATTTCATCTCGCTGATTGCTAGATTTCAAATCCTGCCAGCAAAAGAACACGCTGTTTATTTCCAAAAGCACTCCAAAACTGACATGTATAAACATCTTTTCATTTCTATCTCTACTCTGCTTAAGGAAACATCAAGTTAAATTCATCAAAGTTTGTGAAAATGGACTGTAACGATAGTTACAACTGAACCATCATTACCTCATGAGAAATGAACAAAGTATGTGTAAAACAGCCACCGTTTTTAGTGTGTCTTACAACCAGCACCACAAACTGTCTGTGTTTTGTTCGTTTTTAAGCAGTTTTCCTCTGAGAAAACTGCCCTGGAAATTAGCTGTCCTTCCTCCTAGGCACGTCTTCCCTCAGTGGCAATAGAGAAGGACAGAGGTGCACACAGAGTTAAGGCATTCTGTAATTGTTGCATCTGAACAAATTTCCCATGTTTGTTTCCCTGCCCCAGCAGCCTCTGTCTCGAGCACACTGCAGAAAGAAACAGCAGGTCAGGGATACCAATCCTGCACTCCTGAGAAAGGGGAAGCATGGAAGGTGTGGAAATTAAAAACCTGCTTGAGAGAAGCCACCTTGAGGTGCTTGAGGGCTCTGCTTCCCCTCTGTCCCTGCCGCCGACGCACTCAAAGCACTTAGGGATCTTACCACACCCATCTCGTTCCTCCCTTCTCCACCAGACCTCCTTGAAACCCTACAGCCTCCCACCAACAGAAACAAGGGACACCCAGCTTGCAGAACCCCCCAGTCCAATTTAACTGGTTCCAGGAATCAATCATGGGCACTATTGTTTGGACAGCTGAAAGTTATGGACTTTGGAACAAGCACAGAGTCGACATCAGGCTGTACGGAGCCTCCTGCATCATCCTGTTTTATTACAGACATTTTCAATTTCCCCTGCTTCTTCTGCATCATGTCCTTTGAAAAGAAAGCTAACAGATATTTGTGAAATGGCTTGGGTGAAGGAGACAGTTAAATTCAGGGGAAAAATAAAAAAGGGAAAACAGCACATATGAGCCTGTGGCACCAGATTCAAATGATGAGAAGAGGCACAATGAAGAATGAACAAGTAAATGCATACAAAACTTCTCACAGCCTGCCCACAGGCAATCTGAAGTCTAATTATTTTCCTTTGCATTGCATCAGGCTCTATATGCATTATTTACAAAAGCATCACAGTACCCACTTCTCACTGCATGAAGTTTTTAAGTTTATGGCTGAAGAGCATTTGATATTAAATGAACCAGTCCTGTATTTTTAAAATCTCATTTACTCCAAGATATGCAATGGACATAGGATTGCATCTTACTTCCTCAGGCTAACTTAGAAATCTCAGGGATATAGTAAAAAAAAAAAACCAAAAACAAAAACAAACCAAAAGCAAACAAAATAAAAGAGATGTAGTCTTAAGCAGAAGCAGACAACAGTTTAACCAACTGATCACCTGAATCAGAAAACTGTGTTTTCTTTAGTGTATTAACACATAATGTATTTTTCAGTTTTTAATAAGCAAATATATAAATGAATCACCACTGTGCAAGAATAATTTTATTGCCCAGTGTGTTCAAATCCAAATGCTACTGCATCTCCAACCTCAGTAAAGCAGCTGCAATTTGTCCAGTGCACTGGACTTGCTCAGAAAAGAAATATTATTTAAACACTGACTCTGGTTCTAATTAGTGAATCTATCTTTCCTGCAATTATTACGAGACAGCAGACTGCCCTCTTTTCTCCTGTGCTACAGGGAAGCCACAGACATCACAGAGATACGATGGAAAGTCAATACAACACTTCAGCCTGACTGGCTTCTATTATTAACCATTTCTTACTTTGCCACATCATATGCAAACAATCAAACCCAAAAGCCTTTAAAAATTACTTTTTCTCTCTAAAACAGTCCTGTCTAACCAGGACTGAGATATTCATATGTAAACCAAACTGGTAAGCCGGTGGCACAAAGCCAATAACAGCAGTCAGTAACAATGTCTGGAAAGGTTCTGTAAATTAATGGTTTTTTTCACACAATACTGCAGAGAGATTCAGAGTCATGACAGACTCAAAGAGCCCCAGTTTTTTCAGTAACATGTTAAATATTTTTAAAATGCTCAGATCCATGAAATTCATCACTACTTTGTTGTTTAGCTGCAAGCTTGGAGAGCCCCCAAAGAAGCTGTAGAACCATTATTCCTTTCCACATCGAGGAAACAATTATTCCTTGAGACTTTTCATGTGAAAAAGAAGAAACATCTGATAACCTCAGTCTGATCTTTTCATAAATGGACCAAAAAAATCCCCCAAGATTGAGTAAATTTGCTATCAAAGCTCTGCATATGTGGATTATCAGAATAATGAACTGGTTCTTTGAAGGAAGAAGTTAGCCTCTACAAATATCTGCAGTTCACCCAGCTACTTTACTACACTTCAGGCTATTTTATTTTTTCTTCATGGTTTAGCACTTTCTTCTTATTCCAACTTCTTTTTAGACTAGTGGACTATGTCTATACTATACAGACATAAACTATATCCACACTAAATCAGTTATGTCATGTGAGACCAGCTGAGATGAAAGATAATCCCATTTCCAACCACTGCCAATCCAAGAGGCCCACTACAGTACCATTTCCCCAGGCTGCTGTCCCAGTCCTTCCAGGACATACTTCTGTGTCTTCCTTGTATCTGGTTCTCCATGACAAGAATGGAAAACGAATGGATAATCAGAGATTCCCAGCCGTGGATTGTTCCAGCTAAACCCAGAGAATGGACAAGAAGACTTTTAAGAACTTGAAAACTACCTTCATTGTTAAACTTTGACTGCACTACTTCAATATGGAGAAAAATAGGAGAAAAAAAAATCTTTTTTTTAATCCCAAATAATACATCTAAGGTTTGACAGCTCGTTACATGAGGAAGGCAGCTCCTGCTCACTGAGCAGTCCCATCAGCACAGCTCAGAGAGGCTGGGATCACTGTGGGTACAGATCACACTGCTGTATTCTGCACCAGCAGCAGCTTCACTCAGCACTGCAGCACCCAGCCTGCTCTCTGCAGAGACAGATGTTACTGAATCCAGTTCTGTATCCAGGAAAAACACAGCCATACAAACTCCACAATTTCACACTACTATAGAAATAGGGGACAAAAGCATTCATTTTTTTATCACAGCTTAAACCTGGGCTTCAGCATTCAGCTTTCAGTCAGAAGTGACTGCCAAATCGTGCATAGCTGCTGATTCAAAGACCATAATAAAGCTCAAACTCTTCCAAGTGCATTCATGCACTGTTCATCTGGGCAAGGCTCCAGATGATAAATTTCATAAGTATTGTATCGTCCTTTCCAGTGGAAGAAAGTATCTCACCAACAAAAGCAAGTGAAAAACGCCTGGGGGTGACAGTGGCAGTAGATCTCCCTCAGCTGTGTCAGTTCTGCCGAGGGAACGCTTGCTTACACAGGTGTTAGAGCTTGCACCGCTCAGGCTCTGCCTGCCTCAGCTGGAACTGCACCCACACCCACGAGGCCCTGCAGCCCCAGTTCCACACGGCCTGGCACCTCCAGTCCCTCTCCAGGGCATGCCACAGGGCTGCCAGACTCCTGGCACCTCCAGTCCCTCTCCAGGGCATTCCCCAGGGGTGCCAGGCTCCTGGCACCTCCAGTCCGTCCCCAAGCCATTCCACAGGGCTGCCAGGCTCCTGGCACCTCCAGTCCCTCCCCAAGCCATTCCCCAGGGGTGCCAGGCTCTTGGCACCTCCAGTCCCTCTCCAGGGCATTCCACAGGGCTGCCAGGCTCCTGGCACCTCCAGTCCCTCTCCAAGCCATTTCACAGGGGTGCCAGGCTCCAGTTCACCAGTCTGGCCTCCTGAGCCAGCCCCGTCACCAGGGCACTTCTGAGACACTGCGGGGCTCTCACCTGACCCACACACTGACCTCACAGCCTGTCCTGGGGCTGCCTCATCACCCCAAACCTCCCTGAGGAGCTGGCTGTGGCTGAGCCTGGCTATCCCAGCTGGCACGCATGGCTCCTGCCCATGCCCAGCTGCTGAAGCCCTGCCTCAGAGAGCAGCCAGCCCTGGCTGCATCCCACAGGACCTTTTTCACATAAGCATTTACCATCAGCAGGGATCACCTGGTATCAGCTCCATCATAAGCCTGACCCTGCCTGCTCTACAAAATACTCAATTTGCCAAGTTGCAAACAGCATGACCTGGTGGCTCCTTTCTTCCACATAAGGCTGATGACATCTGAACTGATGACACACACAAGGGACTGTAACCACACAAAAAGGAAACATTCCCAATTAAACATTGGGAAAAATACCTGGCAGGGTAAAGGCTTTGTTAGCACAAATGAAACTCCACTAGACGACAGAGCTGTGCTGCACTGACCAAAGGTTCCCTTGTGTGCATTCACAGCAAGTTAAACACCACTCAGCCTATCCTTACCAAGCATGATCATAGTACATGCTTGACTGTGAGGAATTCCAAGCTAACTTTTTAATACAAAAGTCTTACCTGGTCTCTAAACTCATTTTTTCTGACCTGAGAAATCAGCAGTTCTTAGTGTCTCATAGCATCACTGTACTACAGCACATGTAGGGCACAGAAACTCCACATACACACACAGGATACAGATTCTGTATGGCCAGAACTGTAGGCAGTTTGCATCACATGCAGGAATACACCAAGTGTTACAGTACAAAGTGTTCAAGTACATCAAGCGTTACAGTACAAATGGATATCAATGTTACCATAAGCCTAAGCCTTTACTAATACCCTCTGTCTCTAAGGCAACTCAGCAGCCTTTATGAAACCTCAACTGAGAGCAGGCAGGGAACTGAGGTTCCCAGCAGAACTTTCTCTCTGTATCAATCCCTATTTACTATTCATCATACAGGAGTGACACATAACACCACAGAGCAGCAAAGCTACCTCATACAAAGCCATGACTGGATAACACCCCTGCTCTTCCAGGAATTTGTTGCTCAGACAGGGAAGGATGCAGTTTCTTTTGATGATCTGGTTGCATCAGATTGCAAC